GAACTGAGACTGGGAGTTGGTTCCATAGGAGAGGAGCTTGATAGCTAAAGGCTCTGCCTCCCATTCTGCTTCTGTGGATTCTAGGAACCACAAGTAAACCTGCACTCTGAGAGCAAAGTGCTCTGCTCGGATGATAAGGCTCTACGAGGTCTTTAAGATATGATGGAGCCTTGTCATTAAGGGCTTTGTATGTTAGGAGAAGGATTTTAAATTCTATTCTGAATTTTACAGGGAGCCAGTGGAAAGAAGCTAATATGGGAAAGATATGATCTGTCTTGCTAGTTCCTGTCAGGACTCTGGCTGCAGTGTAGTGGTTTAAGTTACATGTTAATATGGATTATATAATAGAATAGTGTTTATGGGTTCACTTTAAGTTCATGTGAGCTGAACAATGAGCTTATATACTATAATTTGGCCAAGATGTTTCCTGTTTTTGAGTACATCTCAGGGTGTTCTCTCCCAAAACTGAAGACAGGAAGCTAAGTTCAGAAATTGATGTAAGGAAAGCTGCGGATAAAAGAGTGAACCTGAAGGGGTTAGGAGGAGAAGAAGAGAGGATGAGAATGCTACTGTGAAAGTGTACCATGGACCCAGGATGGGGGGTCGGGGGAACGAATAGCTGGCATAGCAATCCGATAGTAGGGATGAGGCAGGATCTTCAGGCAGGGTGTCAATACAGGCATAGCAGTCCAACAATAGGGGGCAAGGCAAATATCGTTAATCAGGAGCAGGCAAGATTTCGTTATCAGAATGCCAGGTACTAGAATAAATGCTAGGCAAAGAACAATCTGGCAGCCCCCCACAAGGTGAGGAGCTGCTATATACTGAGGGGAGCAGGTGTGAGTAATGAAACAGCAGGTGAAGGCACTTGAGAATGATGAAGTAAAGTGTCCAAAAGTCTGAGTGAGCCGGGAACAGGAAGTACTTTCAGAGTAAAAGCAGGGAACCGGAAGCCAGCGGGGCAGGATCATGACAGACTGGACTCCTGAGGGTACCACGTGACCAACAATGACTGACTGGCGCTCTGACAATCTTCTTATTTAATACTTTATCTATCCCATTGCAGGAGGAGTGATTCTGTTTTCTGTGTCCTAGCTACCAGATTATCTATTTAACTACTACTCTGTTCAGAATAATTGTAATATTAAATAATCATTTAAATTGGGATGATTTGTCTGAATTAATTTAGTCTGTATCACACTGTAGCCACGACATTTTGGATTAACTGGAGGCTTTTTAGGGAACTATTGGGACATCCTGATAGTAAAGAGTTACAGTAGTCCAGCCCGGAAGGAACAGATGTATGGACCAGTTTTTCACATCACCGGCTCAACATTAATTTTAGTGACCTCCGACTGGCAAAGTCGGGAGTCATTAGTGCCAATGTGAATAACAATCTTACTGTATTTACACTTATCCTTAGTGGTAGTAGTAGTAATAGTATCTGCAGTATTAAACACAATGGGAGGGCTGAAGTGTCCTGCTCAGTGCCTGCAGTATAGTAGTAGTAGTAGTAGTAGTAGTAGTTGTTGTAGTGGTTAAATATAAAGTACCAGGCCAGAGGTAATATTTAATAGAACAGTATGTAGTTCATATATAGATATTATTTGTATTATTATTTCTCTTCTCTTGCTCAAGCAAGAATATCTTGGGCTGTGTCCCCCTTGTTTAGCATATGGGTAAACATCCCGAGTGACTTCCTCCTTAGATAGGGAATGGACATAGCTGCATGGACTAAAACATATAGGTTCAATGATTATATAGCAAAATCTATGCAGTAATACTTCAATGTTGCCAGTAATGACAGGGGACAAAAGTAAGTATTAAGTGGTACATTCTCTACATTATCTAAGCAGTGTGTTAATTCTCTTAGATCTTTAATTGAGGTTGTAGTGCTTTTTAAACTGAAGTTCCAAATCTACATGCATTGTTGTTGGATGTTCCACCTGAGGACAAGTGGTTTAATATGTGGTTTATTAAGTGGTATCGACATATGAAATAAAGAAACATAGTGATCAGTTGAGAAACAGAAAGCAGAAAAGCTTTAGCTTTTGGAAACCGCTGATTGATTATCAGAACGGTGGTAGATTAATTTTTGTCAATTGCATAATTGGTTAATTAATTGATTGTTTTAGTGTTGTGACCGTGTAGTTCTACAATAGGGTCTGGCAAGGATGTAATAGTTGTCTAGCTTTTTATTTTCACAGTGTGATAGGGGATAAAAGGACAATATTATGACAAATACATTAGTGAGTGCACAGGGCGATGGGAAAGCGAATCAAGCAAACGCATGATACTGTACCTCTGTGTTCTGAATGTAATGTCATGTGTGGACACATGTAGTGGTTATTTCTCATCATGTTATATTGTAAATCTTGTGACTAAAATCTAGTATGTAGTAGTATAGTTGTACTGAGCCACTATGGTGAAGAGGGTGCTGAGCTGGAAGGCAAAGCTTTTAATTTACCGGTTGACCTATGTTCCAAGCATCACCTATTTGGTCACACGCTTTGGTTAGTGACCAAAAGAATGAGATTGTGAATACAAGTGGCCTAAATGAGTTTCATTTGTCTGGTGGTTGGACTTGGCCTCAGAGGTAAGGTGTGGAATTCAGACATTTGGAGGGATCTTGGAGTAGAGCCGCTGCTCCTTCATGTCAAAAGAAGCCAGCTGAGGTGGTTCAGGTGATCAGGATGCCTCCTGGGTGCCTTCCATTGGATGTGCCTTCCACATTAAACTAGCAAGACACCCTGGCGTAGACTCAGAATGCGCTGGAGAGATTATATATCTTATTTAGCGTAGGAACACCTTGGGGTCCCCCAAAAAGGAGCTGAAGGATGTCTGGATTGCTTGGCTGATGGATGGATGTAGTAACAGTAGTAGTAGTATCTGCAGTATTAAACAGCGTGAGTCTGGTTCAGTGTTAGTCATTTATTAACTTCTATAACTCAAAGTAAACACAACTTATCCTCCACATGCTCCACCCACTACAGTCAGGAAGTGATGCAACAGGTCAGCTGACCATCATCACCACAGGACTCATTAATCAAACATCAGATCACACAGTGGCACTTTATAAAGACAGAAATTTTAAAGGAACGGTCCAACAGTTTAAGTCCTCCAGAGTCTCATCCAGTAGCCTGCAGCCTGTTAATGTAGCTTAGCACAAAAACTGAAAGTAGAGGGAAACTGTTAGCCTAGCTCCAGTGGGTTTGATCACATCAGACCAGTAAACTACCTCTTGGTAGTTTACTGGTCTGATGTAGAAATAAAATATAATTATTTCTGCCTGTAACAGCAGAACCGACTTCTTATCTGAGTCGTCATCCACATCTGCATGGTTTCCTGAACGAGATGTTGGGTTTTCTTTCTTCATCTATTTTTGTTTGAACAGAGATGGTGATCATAATCATTAGAGAAAAAAAATCACTTAGGCTCATTGGCACCTCCGACATGAGAAATCGGATGTGGGCTGATTGGGTTTGCTGATCTGATCTGACTCCATGTGGATGTAAATAGCTGCTGCTTCAACAAATAAATAATTACATTGAGAGTGATAGCATTTACAGGACAGATCATAATTAGGAGACCATGAAGACAGCCAATGAACACATTCACAGAGCACGTAGCTGGTTTTCAGATGTCTGGATGTAATGAACATGTCCTGTTGTAGCTTGCTTGTGCTCTTGACATAGATTATTATTTCTCCTCTTATGGAGCGATGCTAACAGTTTCCCCCTGCTTCCAGTCTTTGCGCTAAGTTAGACTAACAGCCTTGACCTACAGATGAATCTAAAAGGTGAAGCATCTGGGCAGAGCAGGAGGGTTTTATAAACAGACAAATGTGACAGACTGTGATTAAATATATTAAACTGTTGCATGTTTGTTTCCAGTGTGGTCAGTTAATTACTGTCAGTCTGCATAGTGCAGTAGCTCTGTCCTCTGATTGGCTGATAGCTGTCCTTGAACATCAGGATACCTGTTCAGGTTGTCTGCGAATGTAAAACAATCTATTCTCAGTTCGTCCAACAGGAAACAACATAATGACCTTTATAGTGACTTCACCTCCTCTCTGACGATGTCATCACCTGGTCCTGTCTGATTGGTGAAAGCCTTACAGGGGAAGGATGTATTGCTGGTATTCAAAGGGGGATGGGTCAGATGGAGAGGGGTCAGAGTCTCCACGGTCAGCAGATGAGTTCTGGATTTATTCAGCTCTGGTTCTGATTTGGATCAGTTCCTCTGGTTCCACTGTTCTGGTTCTGTTGTTTGGGTTAGGCTCATACTGGGAATGTTGTATAGTTTTTTTGTTTGTTTGTCATTCTGGTGGTTCTGAATAATGAATGTCAGTTCTCATGGTCTGTCGTCATCATGGCAGCATGTTTATTTTGGCACCTGATTCTGATTTAGTTTTGTCATGAAAATCTAAATGTCTTTTATTCAAATTACCTTTAATCACAAAAACTGACATTTTTTTCTCATTTCTATCTTGTCATTTTAATGTTTAGATTTTCTAAACATTTTTGGCTTCAGCTGCCTCCATCTTTGCGCTGTACAGTTACTATGGTTACAGGTGTGTGTCTGTCCCTGACCTCTGCAGCGCCTGATTCAGTCCCATTCAGATTAAAGCTCTGTTCACTGGGTTCACCCTCAGGAGAGAAGCTAAACCATGGGAGAACATGAACACTGAGATTTCTGCCGCCGACATCTAGAGGGAAATGCAGATAGTCCACTGCCCACATTCATTCTGGAACTGAATCATTCCTGTTGACAGCAGCACACAGATATCTGACTGACAGTACACATCCACAGTACTTCCTGTTCAGTGATCTGTTCATAAATGTTGGCGTGCTGTGTGTGTGTCTTTTTGTATAATTCCCAGTGGACTATGGATGAATTTAGTTAATAAACCGCATGTTGTTGTTGTGGATGTCCTGGCAGCGTGGTGTGTTGTTGTTGTCATGGCAGCGTTTCGTCAACATGGCAGCGTGTTTTCATGGTCATGGCAGCGTGCGGGTGCGTGCAGCGAGTGCCTCCATCAACTCGTGGCAGAGACACTGACAGAAGCCCTAGAGGACAGCAGTGTGGAGGGAACCAGACTGACCAGTACCACACCCAGCCACAGCTGACCAATCATCAGTAGATAAATCCCCAGAGGCAGGGAGCTGAAGTACACCTGTACACAGACACGGCAACAAACTTGTCAACACATCAGACATACACCTGGCCAAATGGACTGGGCTGACTGGTGGTGTATGTACTGACCAGACACAGCGCCCCCAGCAGGCAGCGGGGGAAGCTGCGTGATGTCCAGGTGTGACACTTTTGAGCAGGTAGGTTGCAGGGCAGCGAGTCTAGGCTAGGGGGGCGGTACAGGCCCACCATATTGAGCATGCTCAGTGACTCTGAGGACGGAGACTCCTCAGGGAGCTCCATGATGGTGATGACCAGACAGTCTGAAGAGTGGTGTGATGCTTCCATGCCTCCTCCTCCTCCTCCTCCTCCTCCTCCTCCTGCTGCTGACAGATGGACATCATGAACTCTGCAGTACAGATTCTAATACAAGTGCACACATTTGGAATGGAAACCTGTTAAGTTATTTTACCGGTCAGAGTGGTGGGACTCAGTACCACTTCCCCCCCAACTTCTCCTCGCCGGGCTCGGTCCTGACATGACAGAACAGCAAGGATGTGTCTGTCATCCTCCATCAACCACACCTGAAGGAGGAACCGCAGAAGAAAACAGTTTCATTTCAAGTTGCCACAGTCTCACATCTGGATGTGGGTGGGGGTGATCTCCTTGTTTTATACAAAAAAGAAAACAATTCCTTACTGGATGCACCTCCTAATCAGGGTGGAAAAAGAAAGGGGCACAAGTCTCAATTACTTGGGTAAAAAAAATACTCATGTCTTTGTTAGGGAAAAAAAAGAGTCTCACCACATGTTAGAAGAATAATTTCTCACCTCTTCATCAGGGACATAGGTCTCATGGCGACAGAATGGACAGCTGATGACAGAGGGTGAAGACTCTCCTGAGAACCAATGAGAAGAGAGTCCCATGTCTCAGGATAATGTCAGAGTCATGTGACATGATCAGTCAGCGTGCTCCAAAACTCAACCAGTATGGTGCCAATTTGCACCAGAAGGGAGCAGTTTCTGTTCCATTTAAATTTGGTGCATGAAACATGCCGATTACGCTGACCTGAGGTCACAGAAAACTGCAGCAAATAAACAAAATAACATGTGAAGTCCAAAAGGATAGTGAACAGCAGCCTGATTGTGGTCAGAACGTGGGCAGCATATCCTCCCAGTAGCCCACAACTTGTGACTATGAATCAGAAACTCAGCTAACACGACATGTGAAGCATGCTGAGCTTGACAATTCATTCCTTCACCAAGATTATGTAAAATCACAGTTGACTGAAATTCAGGTGGCGCTGAGAGATGGTATCTGGGCTCTTTGGGGCAGTATTCAGTCAGTCATGTAGGCTGTTCACGTTAGCCGTGTTTCCACTATCGGAGCCTAACAAGCGGTAAAGCCCATACCTTGCCTGCCCCATGTAACCTCCCAGGTTGATGTGGACCATCCTGCTTTGCTTTTCCAGTGTATTCCCTGTGTCGCTGTCTGTTTAGAGGAGGGAGCAGGTGGGATCCTCTCTCTCTCATACACAGCTAGGCACTGCTACTCCGGAGCAGGTTGGCTTCAGAGGATCAGATCAAAACCTTTTAACTGCCTGAGCACTGACCAGTCAGATCACTGGAAAAACTGAAGGATCATTCCTACTGATCTTACCAACATCTTACCAACCACAGGAATAATCTCGGTGCAGCTGAAAGTGATACCTCACTGGCAGAGGAGCTGAACCTCTTTTTTGCCCACTTTGAGGTGCAGCAACCAAACACAGCCAAACTGCACCCTGCGGCCCCACCCTCACAGTAGGGAAGCATGAGGTGAAGCACATGCTGTGGGCCATAAATCCGAGGAAGGCTGCTGGACCAGATGGCGTCCCCGGACGTGTGCTGAAGGACTGTGCTGACCAGCTGGCTGGACTCTTCACCAGGATCTTTAACCAGTCTCTGGCCCAATCCACTGTCTCACCCTCCCTGAAGTCCTCCATCCTAGTTCCCCTGCCTAAGAAACCCCACATAACCAGCCTCAATGACTACCGGGCACTTGCACTCACTCCAGTGGGGATGAAGCGTTTTAAGAAACTTGTACGGGGACACATTATGTCATTCCTCCCACCAACATCTGACCCACACCAATTTGCATACAGGGCAAATAGATCCACAGAGGATGCCGTTGCCACAGCTCTCCATGCTGTGCTGTCCCACCTGGAGCATGAGGAGAGCTATGCATGGCTGCTCTTTGTGGATTATAGCTCCGCATTCAACACCACCCTCCCCTACAAACTGGTGGACAAGCTGGTGGACCTGGGAATTCCATATTCCACCTGCATATGGATTAAGAGCTTCCTGTCTGGATGCAGCCAGAGGGTGAGAGTGGGTCCAAACACATCCACGGCCCTGAGCCTCAGCACTGGTTCTCCACAAGGCTGTGTGCTGAGCCCCCTGCTCTACACCATGTATACCCACGACTATACCCCCACCCACCACAGCAACACTATTATAAAATTTGCTGATGACACCACGGTGGTGGGGCTTACCTCTGGGGGGATGAGACTACCTACAGGGATGAGGTGGAGAGGCTGATAGTGTGATGCAGAGAGAACAATCTGCTCCTTAATACCTCAAAGACTAAGGAGGTCATTGTCGACTTCAGGAGGATGAAAACCAACATCTTGCCACTGTATATCAGCAGGGACCATGTGGAGAGGGTGCCGGCCTACTGCTTTCTGGGGGTCCATATTGAGGAGGATCTGGCCTAGGGCGTGAATACCTCTGGACTGCTTAAAAAGGCCCAGTAGAGACCTCTTCACCATTTATATGAAATTGGGGAGTGTGCGTGCTTCCTGGATGTCCTGAAATCCACAATGATCTCCTTTGTCTTGGTAGTGTTCAGGACCAGGGTATTTTCTGAGCACAACCCAGCCAGATGTTGGACCTCCTCTCTGTGGTGTGCTTCCTCATTGCTGGTAACAAGTCCCACTATAGTGGTGTCATTTGGAAACTTCACTATAGTGTTGGAGGAATGAATGGGGGTGCAATCATGGGTAAAGAGGGCTGGACTGAACACACAACCCTACAGCACGCCTGTGTTCAGGATGAGAGTTGAAGATGTGTGGTTCCCTATTCTGACATTTTATTGGCTGCAGGGGAAAAAATGTATAATATATGAACAGAGTGAGGTGGTTAGTCCCAGGGTTCAGTTTGTGTATCAGTTTATGGGGCATTATTGTATTGAAGGTGGAGCTGAAGTCTGTCAAGAGCATCCAGACATATGTATCTGGACAGGTGAGACAGGGCTGTTTGTAGTGCAATTGAAATTACATCCTATGTAGACCTGTTTCCTTGATAGGAAAACTGGTGCCTGTCCAGCTCTGTGGGGATGGTGTCCCTGATATGGGATGCTATAATCTTGTCAAAACAATTCATAACAGCTGGAGTCAGGGCAACTGGGCGATAGTCATTTAGACAGCTTTAGTCTTCTTTGGTATAGACACAACTGTGGCAGATTTAAGGCAAGAAGGGGACACAAGCCTGTTGTAGTGAGAGGCTGAAGCTGTCAGTAAGCACCCCTATTAATTGATGAGCACATGACTTCAGCATGTGGCCTGATACCCTGTCTGGTCCTGCTTCTTTGAAGGTGTTTATTTTCTTCAGAGTGGGGCTCACCTGATGGTGCTGAAAGATAAGATAAAGACAAGACCTCCCTGGGCACAGTCATTTGGGCCCACACTCTATTGCTCTGCATTTCAAACTGTGCAAAGGACTGGTTCAAGGTGTAAGGGAGTGTTCTGTCCTGGTTGATCTGGTGGGCTGCTACATTTATAGTGTGTTATGGTTTTAATACCCCTCTACATGCTCCGAGGTTGTTGTTACTGTGTGTAAATTACTTCTCCACGCACTGCTAGGGTAGCTTCCTCAACCTACACCTGTACAGTTTTAACAGATGGTATTGTTCTGAATATGCCATATTGTCCAACAGGGGGAGGTCTAGGTCTATAAATGCTGTGTTCCCTCAGTAAGTATGGTTTTCCCTTTCCTGTGCTAGAGCATGATGGTGGTGCCCCTGTCTGTACATACCCCACCCAGCCATTCAATAAAAGCTACCTTTTCAGACACAAAGCTGTCTAGTGGTTCCTTCCAGACTAGAAGTTACCACACCAGTCAAACTGCTTTGCTGTTTCAGGCTTTCCATGGGTCACTCTGATTTAAAGCAGTTTCTAACAAACTGACGGAGTCTACAGCCTTCTGGCTATACATGAGTTTCTTCGCAGGTATCACCACTCCATCTCATATTCAGTACTTCATTCATGGTTCTGACAATGTTGCTTCTAATTAACAACGTTGCCTCTTTCACATGAACACACTCGTAGATCAACAGGAAAAGCTAGACCGAACAGAGCCAGTTGATCACCGGCTGTGTTTTACTGGGTATCCAGGACAGCCAATGTTAGGCTCAGTGAAGCTAGATAACCCCAGGACAGCCAGACTAAGTCAGACTTGCTTCATGGTACAGACCTCAGGTCTCTGATCTACAGCTGTGTGTCAGAAGAGTCGATACCCAGTCCCTGTACCTGCAATGTAACGGTCATGTTCACCTGAGAGATGAAGAGTCAAGAATCTTTAATGTCATTATGCATAGCACAACGAATTTTTTTCCAGTAGCTCTTAGCTTAAAAGACAGACATATTATTGAACTCATATATAACTTATATATGAACTCACCCATGTCAACCATCTTCTTCAGACACTTGGCACAGACTCGGTGCAGACAGCCAAGCAGTTTTGGTTTCCGACTGCGAGTATCGTATCGGTTATAACAGATTTTACACTCGAGTTCCTCCAGAGTGTAAACCAGAGACTGAGCCCAGGTCTGCACCTGAACACAGCTATGTGTTAACGACAGATGCATCTCTTCTTCTGTGTATCTGTTGTTTGCCTAAACCTTATATAAAATGTCAATTTGATCAGTTCCAACAGCAGACAAACACTGAGGGATGATGGGAAATCTCACCTTGGCCTCCATCTCATGGCTTGGCTCTGCCTCCAGTTGGTTCATCCTAATGGCTGAAACAGGGGAGGGGCTTAACCCGATGCTGTCACCTAATTGGGAGACAAACAACAAACAACTATCCTTCAGTAAATAAAAAGACCCACAGCGTAAAATCTACTGATTTTACCTGAACACAGGGTTTAACCCCAGATTTTCAGATGACTTAGGCGCTGACTTGGTTGGAGGGGGGTAATGAAAATATCTGTGGACTAACTAATTTGCACAAGTAGGCAGGCAAGCCAACTCACACTACATGGCTGCTAAACAGCTTTTTTTCCACCGCCTGGTACCAGCTTGACTCAACTCAGCTTTGTGTTTCCATCAGTCAAATGTTGGGTATAGTTCCTAGTACCTGGTACTATTTTTGGTATCACCTCCGTCAAGGTTCCAAGCAAGCAGAGGCGATACACCAAACGGAGACCTGTAAACATTGCAGACTAGCCACTGGTCAGAGAAATTGCATCATCAATGTGCAAGACATCCTGGAACAAAGAACACACCATTCTTAAAAGCAATGTTATTTAACGCTAATTGCTACTTTACTGTAGTTACTGTACTACCTAAAAACAGCCACATATGACAATCAACAACAGCATACCTTTGATGTCCTCTATTATTACTCTGCCATCACGGCAGTGCAATGTTGTGTCACTATGACAACCAGCTATACTGAGAGCGGACCATCTGCAGTGGAAAACAAAGCACCCAGTACTGAAAGCGAGTAGAGTTGAGTTGAGCCGGTACCAGGTGGTGGAAAAGTGGCATATAACTGCCAAGATGCAGACCTGCATGGCTGGTTCTTCCGCTACATGGCAGGAACTGAGAAAAAACTGTCAGGGAGGACAGGTAGCGGGGAATGCTGCACACCCCACAAGTGTTAGGTTATGCTGTCACGCACCAATCGCATAAATGTTTGTCCAAACACTGGGTGGTAATTGACAGGTCATTCCTTTTGCCAGCTTACATTGCAGTTTGAGATCAACTCATCTCTCCATTTTAGTGCATATACAGTAACCTAATGTTATTTTTACTTTAATTCTAATATGTTTTTTACATTCATAAAGCAATTGGCAAAAATGCTTAGGTGCTGCACTGAAGCCTTTCTGTGATAGAAAACTCTGGAGCTGTTGTTCTTTCTGATTGGTTGATTTTTTTCCCTTCCTGAGACAATCTACCTGAGTCCTGATCAGCTGATTAGTCTCGACAGTCACAAAGAGTGAGACAGATCAGTCAGTTACATATTTACAGTTTGTTCCTGGTTTAGTTTGTAATTCTGATTTTAATGCTGTGATTTATTGGTGTATTTGACTTCCATGTTTCATTGTTTCAGTCTAATGATTCATGTGTAAGGCTGCAGTTTTTGATTTTTTGATTAATCTTCATTAATTGAAGTGGACATACAACATCAGGACCATCATCAAGAAGGCACAGTAGAGGATGTACTTCCTGCGCCAGCTCAGGAAGTTCGACCTCCCCCAGGAGCTGCTGATACAGTTCTACAGAGGAATCATCCAGTCTGTTCTCTGCACCTCCATCACTGTCTGGTTTGGCTCAGCAACCAAACAGGACAAGGACAGACTTCAGCGAACAGTCAGGACTGTAGAAAAGGTCATTGGTGTGAGCCTGCCCTCCATGGAGGACCTGTACACCTCATGGGTCAAGAGGAGGGTGGAGAGGATCACTGCTGACCCCTCACACCCCGGACACAACCTGTTTGAACTCCTCCCCTCTGGACGGCGTTACAGGTCACTGTGCACTAAGACAACCAGGCACAGGGACAGTTTCTTCCCCCAGGCTGTCGCTCTGATGAACACTTAACCAATGACAGTATGACTGGACAATAACCCTCAGTGCAATACCCGTATATATACATTGTACAGATTATACAGAGTCATAGAGGTCTCTAGTTTTAAGTACTCTGTTTTTATCCCTATTTATCTCATTTCAATGAACATTCCTTGTTGTCTGCATTGTTTACTGTCTGTTTATACTGCCTTTTCTGCATTGTTTGCACTGGTTGTTGATGTTAATACTGCTATTTTGTTATATTACACAGCCTTATGCTGATTTACTGTTTTGCACATTGAGAGCCGATGTACCTGAGTCAAATTCCCCGTGTGTCCATCACACCTGGCCAATAAAACTGATTCTGATGAATTATGATACAGTAAGATCTAGACCTTACAGTATCTCCTGTGAAGTGGTGCTATACAAATAAAACTGAATTGAACTGAACTACAATTGTGTCCTCACAACCGGAGAAACACACAGTAACACACTCTGCTGGGTGTATTTATAGACTGCAGCTGTTATGTAATGGAGGAGGGGCTGCTGATGTTGCTATGGCAACAGTTTTACCTGTGCCTGAAACTCACATTGGCGAGTCAGATATGATCACATGTTGTCTGATCAGCTGATCCACTGAACAGAAACTCATCAATAAAACAGTTTGACCAGTGTGATTGTGATTTTATTTGATATCTGTCACTGTCAGCAGTAAAAATATCTGAAAGATGTTAAATATTATTGAAAATTTTATTCACTTTAAATCTGTGTAGGTTGCTAGGAGATGTTAATGTAGATTTTTTTTTTTTTGTTATTCGATGTACAAACAACCTGCAGAAATCTGATCACATCTTTCTATGTTTAATAACTGGAGACCTCTTTCTGTAAGTGTTCCTGAAGTGTTACTGAAATGTTTCTTGAACAATTTCTTCAGTGTGAAATGTCTCATGAATGTTTTGGTATGTTTCTGTAAATGTTCTTTAACATGTAACATTTCTAAAACACCTCTGTAATGTTTCTGAAATGTTGCTGAGAGTTTCTGAAACATTTGGACCAGGACGGACCTTTATTATTCACAAAGGTAGGCAAATGTCTGACGTCCCAGCTACAATGGGTCCCAGTAGCAGGAAATGTAGTGATTTTCTGATACAATATGTAGAAAACGTATTGATACAGACCTACTCAGCACCATAACCCCCCCACATTACAGGACTCTTCCGTCACACAACTCTGCACTGAATGGACTTAACAGTGTTTGATGTGGTCACGCACCCCGAGTCTGACTCTTTTGTTACCTGTGAGTTTCCCTCCATCGATGACAGCTTGAATGAACACCTGACCAGATCGTTGGAGACAGAATTTTTGTGATGATAAAGACACAGCAGTGACAAGTTCAGTTGGTGTTTCCAGACTGAACCGAGTCATTGCTGCGGGTCACATTGAAGACATGACACAATAAACAAAAAGAACCGAAATAACTACAGGTGAAAAGAGAAGAAGCAGCATGATACTGGCCCATAAGACCAAAGTAGAAACTACACAGTGTTTCTATATAAATTTGTGTTTTTCTGGACTTACTTTCCACTCCTTAGAATATTTATTCTGTTCTCATATTTACAACCTAACTTTTCAGAAACGCTGCTTGATGCTGCGTCCATCAACCGCCTCTGAAAACCAGCAACATCTCAGTGAAAAACTGGCTCTGAATAGAGCTCAGGGGGACCGGGTCTGGGACTGGACTGGGATTAGCTGGAACCCCCAAGCCTCTGCATCTGTCCCTGCTTGGAGGAGCCATCTCTAACAGGCCTACACATCACTCACTCCCACTCTGATGTCATAGGATGGGTCCCACTACACAAATGAAAAAGCAGTATAGGCACTGCAGCCACTCCGACATCTGGTAAGCACAGCCTCGGACATGCTACTACACAGCCATCTGGCCACAAGACTGAGCCAGATATTTACACGTGATGACACCGGTTACTCGTTCTTCATTCATTCAAATCAAATCAGATATCTTTATTGTCATTGTAAGAGGACAACGAAATTGAATCCAATCCCTGTTTGTGCAAGAACTATATATAAAAAAAATACTAAAATGAAAAAGTAAAACACAAATCCACATTCACAGAACATTCAAGACTGGTTTGTCTTATTGCACATCTAGAAATTCAGGCCTTGATGGCATTTAGTGCAACTATGGTGCTTGGATAAAAACTGTTTTTGAGTCTATTTATTCATGATTGTATTGTCCTGTAATGTCTGCCCAAGGGCAGCAGCTCAGAGAGATAGCGACCAGGGAGGGAAGGGATTCTTGAGAATGTTCAGAATCAGAATCTGCTTTATTGGCCAGGTGTGTAGGACACATGAGGAATTTGACTCAGGTACATCGGCTCGCAATGTGCATGTACATATCCCCACGCAAGGGGCAAGTAAACAGTAAACCAGCATAAGGCTGTGTAATATAACAAAATAAGCAGTATAAACAGGCAGTAAACAATATAGACAGACAATGGAACAGTAATTGTGAATTGAGATAAATAGGAACAAAGATAGAGTACTTAAAAATAGAGACCTGTACGAGCCTGTACAATGTATATTTACAGGTATTGCACTGAGGGTTATCTTTCAGTCATACTGTCGTGGGTTAAGTGTTCATCAGAGCGATTAATCTTTCTGCCTCAACTTAAAAAATATGTGGTGCAATTAAAGCCTGCTTCCTCCCCCATGGACAGTGGTGCACTTATCCCACTGCAAAATTGTATACGTGACATAAAACTCTGAATTTTCTGCACTTAAATGAGGACAAGACAGAATACATCGTGTTCAGCCCCGACTCCGCTGTTGTGGTACCTAGTTTAGGTGCCCTAGCACCTGCATGCACTGGCGCTGTGAGGAACCTTGGAGTCATTTTTGACAGTGATTTTAATTTTGATAAGCAGATCAGATCCGTGGTTAAAACCAGTTTTTATCATTTG